TCTCTCTCTCTCTCTCTCTCTCTCTCTCTCTCGTTTAATCACGCGATCGGTGCTCGCATATGTATGTATTTCGCGGTATTTGAATAATTCATCGGATATCGGAAGTGTAGTTGCGTTTTCTCCTCTTTTGCCCTGAATAAAATAATATTGTGTAAATCATAAAACGGGCATTTCGAACGCGGCGCTTTTCCGCAAATCGTTAAGTGTATACGTCGTCGATTCAATTCCGACCTTCAGCCCGTATCACACTAGCGATTGGCGACTGCGTTTGCGAGTTCACGTTTGCGTCTAAGATTGTCTCTTGACTCCAATCCAGCAACTCCTCTCCGGATCGGACACGGACTTTATCGCGGCTCGAGGCATTTGCGTTCACGAAACGCCAGGGAAATTTTGACGAGCACAAATCTATTCTCGCACCGCGGGAATTTCTCACATGCAATTTTATAGACGAGCGATCCTTGTAATTGCAGGTGGTGATGTGCGGGGCGGCGCCGACGATGGTGCGCTCCGTGAGTCTCCACGCGGTTTGCAGCGGTCGCAATGTTACCGTAATAGGCCGCCAAGTCACAGCCGAGCAGCGCAACGATAGCAATGCAGCCTACCGTAAGTAAGACCACAATAATTCGTTGTATCCGCCGGTATATAACTCGGCCGCAACATAGTGTGAAGCTTCTTTAATTCGATAAAAATAAAAGTAATTTACTCCGTGGAGAGGGAGGGATACATACCGCGGTCAGATTTCGCGGAGACGTCTCCGTAGTATCTTTATACTCGCGTTGTATCTTTATTGTAGTCGTTCATCGTCTTGCAGCTCTCACAACAAAAAGAAACATTCTTATGAGGTCCCATTAAAGTAAATCTCTTCCCTCTCCGTGGGAGGAGAAGAGCTTTTCTCGGAACGGCTCTGAAATTCGCGAGTACTCGACTTGGGATGATCCATGCGATTTGTCGGCTGTATCGTTAATTAGTCATTGATTCAATCTGCCGCATGCGTCGGACGAATACGACTCTCGATGTTGATTAATATACATACACGGCACGGGAGATTCCGTTACACCCGCGCGCGCACGCAATAATACGAGCATGCGGGATGAGTTAATCAAATCTGTTAATTGAATCGATCCCAATCACCGTTCCAGCGTGCCGTTATCCCTCCGATCGACAGTTCGGTGCATAAAAAAGGAATTTTGTGCCTGGAAATATCCGGGCGCGATGCCGCCATAAAGAACTTAATTTACCGCGATCCTTATCGGCCAAACCCGCTCTCGGGGGCCTTATCTTCTCTCTCTTTCTCTCTCTCTCTCTCTCTCTCCCCCTCTCTCCCGTTTTCGCTACCGAATGCTTCCACGTTGGCGGGGCCTTCCGGGGTGAATCTCCATTTTTACGAACTAATAACCGCAATTCTATTTCCGCGAGCAGCCCCGAGCGCGGGGGAGCGCGGAAGGAGCAAAAGGAATAAAAGGGGGGACGACAATCGAGGAACCCCGATGAATTACGCGATGTGATTTTGCCTCGTCTCGATTGTTTCCGGCTAGACACTGTTTGTCTCACGTCGTTTGCTGTATCGCGCTCTATCGGAGACTCGCGTCATCTCCCGTTCTTATTTATCGTAATCGTCGCGTCGCGAGCGGATTGCGAAGAGCCCGTCGCCGATCGTTTTTCTCTCCGAAATAGCTGAAGATAGATATTCTCCACGTGAAACGCATTGACACGCGTCTGGATACGTGGTCGTTTGTTTATCACCTGACACGCGCGCCTTATCGCCTTGACACACATCCGTCTTGACAATAACACTTGTTTGTGGGAAAAAAATACTCGTCATGACCACGACGAGCTTCGTATCCTCAGCCGATTTCTTCAAACCAGGCGGATGGCTCGCGCAGGATTATGATGAATAGATCTCGCGCTCGCTTCCCGGAACTCGCTCGATAATTTACTCGTGACGGTTCTAATCCGTGAAGGCCCGAAAGGCCGAATCTTAGCCGACGCAGAGACTTTTTCAGTTCTGTCATTAATAATTTTGAGGAATCGGAAAATCGAACAAAAATTACTAATATTTCTTTTCACGCACTTATATCTGTATATCGAATAAACTTTAAGGTGCAATTGCTTGGTAAGTCAAGTATGAAATATGAACACAAGGAGTATTTTATACTAGACATTAATATAGAACTTTGTAACCGAGGAACAAGTCGAAATTCTATCGTAAGTAATGAATATACTTTCCTCTTAGAAACTTTGCTGTATTTTCAGTAAAATTTGCTACGTTCCTTTGCAAGATATACCTTCTTGACAGTTTATTTCTAAACTACCAGAAATATAGTGAAATTGAAAAGAATTTATACGAGAAGAAACTATAATATTTTCTCCGTGTATATCTCGTGAAACGATTTAATTATTTCGTCCTGAAATTATCTCACACTCTTAACGACGTCACCAGAATTATCGGCATTGCCAAAAGTGAAGAGTGAAAGATCGCGAAGAAGAGTACCATCTTGTGTAATGGGATACTGCAGGTGTGAATCAAAATTACGTCGCAGAGACTTTTTCAGTTCTGTCATTAATAATTTTGAGGAATCGGAAAATCGAACAAAAATTACAGTATATTACTAATATTTCTTTTCACGCACTCATATCTGTATATCGAATAAACTTTAAGGTGCAATTGCTTGGTAAGTCAAGTATGAATAATGAACACAAGGAGTATTTTATACTAGACATTAATATAGAACTTTGTAACCGAGGAACAAGTCGGTTCAATTTCTACCTGTTACGGATTGCGCGGTGAAGTTGCCATTGGCCGAAACCCGCTGGTCCCGGGCGGCCGCGTTTCTCCTCGCGATCTCGCGATCTCGCCGCGGGAATTCGCGCGCGATATCCCATACGAAACGAGCGAACGGGCTGTCCGCCCTACGCGCGGCGCGAGTACGAGGCGGTTCCTCTTGAGACGATTGCCGGCGAGGAAGGGGACGAAAGGAAGGTTCGGAAGGAGGGAAGCAGCCTCGCTTGTGCAAACAGAGGAGCCAGTTTTCGCGCCGCGCGCTGCGCGCCGCGTCTGCACCTCCCCGAGATCCATCACCTTCGCGTACCACCTCCTCCTCCTCCTCCACCACCACCTTCTCCTCCTCCTCCTGCCCCTTTTACCTCCACCTGCCTCTTCGCCTTTGCCTCCACCTTTTCCCTCTGTTACTCTGCTCTCTCGCCTCTCACGGCACTCAACTGCCGACAACGAGCCTCTCCTGACCGGCGATTACTCAAGCCCCTCTCGCGAAGCGGAACGGCGGCGTGTGCTGCCGCACGGGGGGATTGAGACACTGTGAGAGCGTCCTTGAAGAATCGTGTACCCCATGCTTGGCGAGAGGAACGCGCGGATCTTCGGGAGTTGGGATACTCCCGGAGCTCCGTCGTCGCTGATGAACGCTAACGGGGGAATGGCGGATCGATCTTCTGTCGAACGACACAGACCGCTATTGCATTGTGTCCCACGGTAATTTGTCATGGAAGGGCGAAACCGTTGCAATGTATCATGTCGTACACGTTACACCAAGAGACACGTGAATAACGCACGTAGTTGCGACGACTCATTTTTGCATACGTGACGGAAGAATCGCGCATGAGGCTAAGGTCGCTTAATTGTAAACCGCATTGATTTCTTTCTACTTCTTCACCTGTAATGTATCTGTCAATCTAATCGTCGCATTAGATACTACCTCGATTCGCCTGCGACTTATCGGCGACCCGCGCGACATTAGAAGCACGTGGGGAAACGTAAAAACGCCGAAAGCGAAAGGGAGCGCGCGGTCCGGAATGGTAAGTCATAATTCAAGTGCGTCAGGAGTAACGCGATAATAACTATCATCCACAATCAAGGTAAATAATAATTATCGACTTTTCGTACCACCCTCCGCCCCTCGCGCGCGGCGAGCAAACAGATGCGATCGGCGTGACATGCGATAGTTATAATCATCATGACGCGACACTCTTACCACGTTTGGACAACCCCACAGACACTTTACGAAGCAGTTCATCTCTGAAGCGTTTAACGCTCCTCCGAGATCGGGTGTCCTTCGGTGACTGACAACCGCGCGAAAATCGAGAGGACGTCTCTTGCGGAAGAGAGAAAGCGACACGGGACTTGTAGCGAGCGAGAAATCAAGAGGCAAAGAGGTAGCAGGAGAGCGAAACAGAGCGGGGCGAGGAGAGAATCGTGCGTGCCGGCAGCACCGATCGCCCGGACGGGAATTTAATTATTCGAGTCGCGGCGGACTGTGATTACCGCGTCAGCCCGATAAACCAGGCTTCACCTGTCGCACCTTTGATCCATCTCGCGATACCCCGAATGCGCTGCATTCCCGCCCGTCCCGTAGTCTTCGTCTACTGTGCATCGTCGTGCAGAACGCGCTCCTCGCGCGTCGGCCGATCGTGCGTTTAGGTGTTAATGACAGGGTCGCTATTATACGCGAGCGCGCGCGCTTCATAACGAGAGAATCGCGTCTGTACGCCGCTCCTCTTCTCCTCTCACTCTCTCTTTCTCTCACTTTCTTTCCCCTCTGCTCACTCGTGTCTTTCCCTTTTGACTTTTTCTTGCGCTTTACACGGGGTCGGTACCGACCATCTCTCCCTCTCGCGCGTTGTATTATAGCTTTCATAACGCCGACGCCGCGAAATTGTAGCGTCCCAGTGGTTCTCGGCCCGAAGTACCGTCTTACCTTCGCACCAAGGCCGGTGTTATTCCGCCGAGTTAATGGCTGCATCGTTACTCCATGTGCGATGTCCCTGCGCAGCCTCTCTTTCTCTCCCCTCCGTTTCTTCGAGAGAACGATGAAGTATTGCGAAGTTCGTCGAGCTTCTTAGGGTGTTCGTTGAGCGGGGACGACCGCGAGATAAAATCGTTCCGACAGTTCGCCTCCGACGTGATAGAAAAATGTGGGCAGTTGCGAACCTGTAAAGAGCGGCGAATTGGTTCCTATATCGCGAGGAGCACGTAGAAGTAATATATGGGATCCATTCTTCTCTCTCTCTTTCTTTCTTTCTCCACTTCTCTGTCTCCCTCCTTTACTCTTGCGCGCAGACCCATCCTACCAGTTATTATCCGGGGTAATCGTGCCTAAAAGCCGGTGCCCGCTTTTGATTAAAATTGGCTTTTAATTCATTTGGCAGCCTCTAATCTCGCGGCGGCTCCGATCAGAGGGAACCAACGAGAGCGAGGGCGACGTGACGGCGGGACGAAGGGGGAAGTTGGGGGAGAGAAGACAGAGGTTTGAAGCGAAAAATTTAGTGGCTTCCTCTCTTCATCCTCATACGCGCCGCCGTGCTCGCGAGTGCGCCATGAATAAATTCCGTTGCGGCATCCTCCGCCAAGATATATTACGTCGATCGATTGCGAATAAGTCTTGCGAAGGAATGTCCCTTTACACCCAGGATTTTACATTTTCCAGACGACATCAGATGTATCGTATAAATTGTCGGGAGATACTCGGCCGTGTCGGTTGCAAGAAAACATTCTGTTTTACGATCGTCTTGATTTTCATCGATTATTCCGCTCTCTACTTACCTCTTCAACAAGCGGAAAGTAACTCCAAGTATTCGCTTTTTGCATTGAACAGTACGTTATTACGTTTTTCGAAGTTATTCATGTATGACCACATGGTCCGTTCTATTAATTCTATTTCGCGAACATGATATCGATATCATGTACGACATCATGTACGGTATTCGCTGAAATCAAGACGCTCATTGTGCTCGTCTTACATTCCAACACTCCGAAGGGGAAGAAGGGAAAGAGAGAGAGAGAGAGAAGTAGAGAAGGGGGATTCATTGGTCGAGGAGATCCGTCAGATGGAAGATTGAAATCAATGCGCCGTAGACGCCTGTCTCGAAACTCCGCGCGTCTGGCAACTTACTAACAAACGCGTCAGCACTCGAATGGCGCGCCGGTCTCGCTTCCTTTCTTTGATAACGATAACCATCGCTTCGAGACGAAACGACAGAGTTTCGCTGCGATTGCTTCGATCGCCGACGACGAAGCACCGGAAATGTGGAAGTTCGGTAATGGGTAACTGGAGCGAGCAAACACGTACAAAGTACGTGTTATTAATTGTCAATTAATTATTGATTGATTAACCGGAGGAATGGCAATCGCCGATCGATGGTTCTATCTTTAAATAACGTGGAAATGCTTCGTATAGACCACATGGTGAAGTCAAACGAGAAACAGCGGGGACAATGGTTTGTGCCTCTCTTCGCGACACTATCGGCGTCCCATTGCGAGGTAGATCCAATTAATTAGCGTAAGTGGCGCAATTAATTGACGGAGACTGCGCACCGTGATAGGCTTGCGAGACAGCAGTTTAAGATTAAGTCCTCTTTCTTTCATTCTTTCTTTCTCTCTCTCTCCCCTGCCCCTCACTTCTTTGTTTTTCTTTTTCATCCACAAAGACTGGCGGGAGGCGACGAGAGAGAAGGTGAGACGCAAATATGAGAACGATAGAGGTGAGAGAGACAGAGAGGCTTTACGATGCAGTTCGGGGACATTCTTGATTTCGATGTTGGGAGAGCATCCGACGAGAACCACTTGAATTTAACGAGGCTCCGGCAAATGGGCCACCCTGCAGACTCGCCTCCTTCATTTTCTCTATACTTCTGAAGCTCATGCCGCACCAGTGGTCCGCGGACTCGGACAAACACTCGATCTCGAGATTGTGCCTTCCGTCACAAAGTTTCCGAGAAACGTTGCGATCGTCTCTGGGCAAACGTATTAGCCGAAGAGCGCGAAACTTTTGCTTTTCTATTTCGATCGCTTTGTCATTACGACGATGGCACGCATGGCTCGGGACTCTCCGAGCGATCTCTTGAGACATCGATTTTGATTTTAATATCGTGAGAAAGCAATCGCGACTATTCGCACATCTCGCGCCATGTCGTCCTCGCTCTCGTCGCAAAAGAAGCCGGGGAAAAAGAATCAGATCGCGAAAAGGAGGGATCGGTGTGTGTATGTGTGCGCGCGACCCAGTTCTGACGATGCGTTGCGGCAAAGAGGTGTACGCCGATGGATATTTCTCGCGCCGGAACTAAAAAGGAGGAAAAAAAGAAGTAGGAAATGTCCGTCGTGCGCGCGCGCGCGCGCGCACCTGTACCTGGTTAGTCCTTGTTTTTTTCTCTCCCTCGCCCGCGGGGCGGACAAAGGGTGCCTGCTTCTCGCTCGACAGAATTTCGTAACACCAGGTAGGAAAGATAGAAGGACACGGGCGAGGCAACGAAGGGGAGAAAGAGACCGAGAGAGATCTCTCGGGGAGAAAGAAAGAAGGAGACTGCACCGGCCAACACGGTGCAACGTGCAGCACGGGGTCGAGGCACGACAGGATCCGCTAAGTGGCAAAGCACACACCGGACGGTCTGTGCCTCCTTCATTAGCACCAACTAGCCTCGGCGGCAACCCGAGTCTTTTCTTCTTTTCTCGATGCCGAAGAGCGCCTGGTGTAGAGAGGAGGGACCCGTCGTCGTTGTAGGTACAACTCGCGCCATAAACCCCGACGAGGTCTCTTCTCGGAAATATGCCAGCGCGCGCATACCGAGGCACAAAACGGTTCGCTTTGTACATCCTGTCGTTCGTACCTCACGTGATCGAGAGAGGGACTCCACCGTGGCCGGTGAAAATCGCAAATCGCAAGGACTCCGAACCCCGTCGAGCTCTCTTCCGAATTCCCTTCGCGCCTACGACGCGTCCCGTGCGAAGTCGTTTTCCTCTCCCGTCATCACCAGCCGAAGGATATAAGAAACGACCTGCGCGTTATCGTTTGACGTTTGACGCGCGTAATAAGGTTTCTTCTGCTTCTTGTGTTACAGAGGAACTCACCACGCGAACGGAGGATTTCAGCAAGAAGCTGTACATCTACGCGGAGAAAAGCCAACGATACATTTGCTTCAACAAGCGGTGGAAACTCGTTGGCCTGGTAATTATTCGCCTACCAATTAGTAGACATACTTCATCGTCCCGTGCGAGCGAGTAGATTTACGCACGCGCCTCGTGTTGCACTGTTCGTAAATTTCTGTTCATTAGTGGCGCGCGGGGGGCTATAATTTAGAAATTGGACTATTAACAGTCCGATGATTTAAGATTTAACGATCGCGACGTGTATTCCAGTCTAATAGATTACTCGACTCCTCGTGGCTATTAAGTGCCGCTCAATTTGTCTGCGATATTTTTAAATAATTATCTCAGTATCTCAGTAGTGATAACAAAAATCGCATGGTATTTTTTTACTCGCGGTCGGACTTTTTGATCGCGCTTCGATAACACACACACACGCACACACAAATTTTTAGATTTTTACAAATATCCTCTCTAAATCTTTTCCAAATTGATATGTTTCAAAATAATAGATAATTTGCGTAAGAGTATATCTTTCTCTCTTTCTCTTAGTGGCGATCGCAATCGTCTATACATGTTGCAATATACAAATTATATTTCGTCGAATTTTTCAAGTATCAGAAGCCAATACTCTCTTAAAGTGAATAGTCACTGATATCAGTTATGAGTATAGCACTGAGCACTTTCAATGCCATATTTGTAACTGCAATCAGTGTATATTCACTGTTTTTAGTGATGTTTGACTGATTCATTTTAAGAGAGTGTCACTACAATGATAAGATGTTTAATGGCTAATAAGATGTTTAATGGCGGACAGTATCATGAGCCGTTGACGGTTTACTTTCAGCCGAAGGAGCAGAAGGGACCGATGTGCCAGTTTTATGAGATATACAATGACCAGTATCTGGGTTACATAAGCGCCGTCGACAAGGAACACCTCATGGGCTTCAACAGCCGGGGCAAGCCGATGAAGAAAAGCAACGGCAGGAAGGAGTGTTACAGATTCATGAAGTACAATCCCCACGTCGACATCAGCCACCACAATAGCCTGGTGAACGCGCAGATGAGCGGCATGGAGCCGCGGGAACCGTACGTCGGCTCGAGGAAACCGTCGCCGGTCACGAGGGCCACGAAGAACTCCCTGTCGCAGGCCGACAGCGCGAGGGATCACATCCAAAAGCCCCCGCACCGCCAGCGGCACCTGAAGCAGCGCTGGAAGCAGCGCCAGAACGGCAAGAACTCGGCGTCCCGAAGACGGTCGGAGAACTGCTTCGTCGAGGCCAGCAAGTAATGAGCCGCCAAGGTACGAGCTCGCCGATCAAGACTGCCTCCTCCATACCCCGTGAGAACCTGAGATCAGACTGCCAAATACGCTGGTGGAACGTACGGTCGGGATGTCAGGAGCCCACTTAGCGGCGCCCCGTGAATCGCGACTCGAAGCACCATGTATTCGTTCGATCGGTCGCGAGGCTGAGCGAGGGCGCGGCACGCTCCGGGCGCACACACACACACACACACACACACACACACACACACACACACACACACACACACCCACACGCCGTTAGCTGCGTTTTACTTTCCGTTTCCGCCCGGTGCGAAGCGGCGTCCCCGCGGCGGGGACGGGCGTCGCGTCGTCGGAGATAACGTTCCCGGATCGTGGAGGGGGGAAAAAGCGTGCGCGCGAGGTGGAAGCGTATACGCGCGCGGATCCCCGCTGATAAAGCTATCTCAATTTCACGCGGTTAAGTTCGATTTACACTTGCCCCGACTGACCCTCTTCAGGCAAGTATGTACCTCGTAACGATAAGAGCGTTTCTTTTTTATCGTTGATTCCTCGTGAGTTTGGTTCGCGCGATGAATCGCTCTCGTTCTTTCTTTCTCTCCCTCCCTCTCTCTCTCTCTCCCCCTTTCCCCCTTCCCTTTCTTCTCTCTTCTTTTATTCACTCTCGATCTGTCTATTTCCCCCTCCGCCCGTTTTTTATCCCTATGACGAAGCGCGTGGCTAATCAGTGTACTTCTTTTTCACACTCGATACTGCGCGTCGCGTTGAGCGTGTGCGGTACCGCCAGCCATGCAAATCTGTTCGAGCCGTTGTTGTCCGGTCGATCGTTTGGCGAGACGCGTGCAAGAAAAGGGATTCACGTTTAGTAGAGATCGTGTAGCGCAACCGAACGGCTGCTGTGCTTCGAGCGCGGTCACCGGTCCGCGAATGTAGCGCGAAGAGACGCGCGGGCGCGGCGCACGCTGGCAAATCACACGTTTCCCAGCGGGACTCGCCTGGCACAGGTGATCGATCCGTCCTCCGGTCGGATCGTGAGACAGCCTGAATGAATTAACGCCGACATGTGTCATTACAAATGTCACGTGTTGGATTCGCAAGGCGCTTCTCGATTCACCCGAGGAACTCTGACACGTTCGTCAATGTCGTTAGCACGGAGTTGACGATTGCGTGTACTCTGGTCGACGGAAAACGCACTTGCAGCCTCAAGTAATCCCCCGATGGCACGGCAAGGTAAGGCGTCGTATGCCGTTACGAATTGGCACATCCGTCGACCGTGGTGACTCGAGTGAGCGAATCGACGATTCCGGACTGTCCGGCTTACGGTCGAATTCTTTCTCCTCCCCACAGCGATGCACTCGTGCGCGCGGGTGCAGAGGAAGAAAAATCACGATCCCCGGATTCGCGGATGTTCGTCCCGTGGGCGATTCCAAGCGCGCTCTTTCAGCGCCGCTCCAGCGAGAAAATGTTTGTCACGTTGTCGCGGACGCTCGTACGTCGTCGCTGTTACGCTCGCTTGCGCAGTAGAGCTCGCGCCGCGTAAGACTCTCTCGCTCGCTGTGCTAATTACGCCGCCTAACGTAGCGTGCGTGCGTGCGTGCGTGCGTGTGTGCGTACGTGCGTGCCTGCCCGCGTGTATGAATAATGTGTGCGTGCCTACCTGCGTGCGTGCGTGCGCGCGTATGTACGTGCGTGCATGCGTGCGTGCGTGCGTGCGTGCGTGCGTGCGTGCGTGCGTGCGTGCGTGCGTGCGTGCGTGCGTGCTCGCGACCGACACGCAGACCTTACCGTCGCCGAGACGTGGGTAGAAACTCTCGCGGCACGATCGATCTCGCGAACGTGTCGGGAACCGAGACGGCGAGAGACCGGCGACGGTTTCTCGGATTTTTCTTTAATAAGCTCGAGGACCCCTGAAACGTCGACGCGCGTCGGGCGATGATTAGCGCTCCGCCGGAATCGAGTCGACGCTTTCGTCCGTTTTTCTCTCCCAAAGGTTCTCCGAGTGGCACACGTGTCGAAAGTTACCTACTCGAACGGCGCTTCTTCTCCTTCGGACGCAAAGGACGCAAGTAGCGCGGACCGGCGACACGGTTCGTACTGCGTGTTCGCGCACGAGCGTATATTATATTTGTGTGCATACTGCGTGGGTACGTAATTCGCCTTTGGAAAGTGTGTGAGTTTGTGTAATATAATGCATTATCGTTAATGAAACTTAATCCTTAGAACGCTATCGCAGACTGTATTATTAGGCTAAATACACGAATAATAATGACGCGGTGGCGACTCGGCGAAGGGAACGTCCAGGGGCACGCCGAGTTCCACATCGCGCCATCGGGGCACGGGGAACTTCTCGCGCGGCCTTAACTTTCGTCTTTATTTTTTTTTTTTTGCCGATTACCGGGCGCCAACCGCCGTTGTTGCGCCGTTTTAACTTGCACGGCCACGGGGCGGCCACCCCCGGAGCAGTTCGTCTTCGCAGACTCGCCACGTAAGGCCTGCGCCTGTCCCTTCTCCGAAAAAAGAAAAATGAAAAAAAGAAATCGCTCCCTAGGTAGCTTATTTATTGAAACCACGTTTAGATTCTATGAAAGCTAAAACGCCTAAGAAAAACCCTCCTTCGTTTCCCTTGTATGCTGCTCTCTCTGTCTCTCTCTCTTTCCCTCTTTCCCTCTCTCTCTTTCTGTGTACCTACATGTATCGTTTTCGTTGCTCATCGTTTATCCTTCTCTTCCCCGTCCTCTTTTCCTTATTGTCAGTCGCGTTCTTCAATCGTCGTCATTTCATGCGCAAAATCATGTCACAACCGCGCGAATCGTTGGATCATGATAATATTGATTGCTTTTGCTCTCGAGAATACTTCGACTCGGCTTTTATTTATATCTTCCTCCTGGCAACTTTATTGGAAATGTGCATCCACAAGTTTAGCGATCGATAATTTGCCTGCACAAACATTCGTTTGCACGCTTAAAAGTCCGTCATCTCGCCGTAAATAAGGACCAAGTATTCGAATCGTCTTTGCAACTTTTAATTGAAATTTTCGACTAATTGACGCTCACCCACAGACTCATTTGCCTCACTTTGCGTCCTCTTGTTCCGATGATCAAAACTCACGTTTTTCACACACAATGCCCCTCCTCTGAAGAAAATACTCAAACAATACCTGATTAATCGCATACGAAGTGGCAGTGCATAGAGAAGCTTATTCCTACGGATAATGTTTGTATGTGTCGCTAGGAAAAATAAAGTAGGGAGCAATACGCACGTAGTAACGCCACGTTTCGTACGACGAATCGTAATTTCGCGACGCGTTTCGTGCACAAATTCAACACACCTGTTCTTTTCGAACGATACTTTTTCACACTTCTCGGGACAATCTGCGCCTTTTTTTTCGGCGGAATCCTCCTTCTTTTTCTCGCAAATACATCGGGATTGTTGACTTGCCCCTTTTGGTGATTCGTTTATCGGCACGTGGCGAGTGCAGGTTAAAAGCACGATAAGATGTCGCGTATAAACAGAAATTAAACGCCAGCAGCTGATCATGAGAATGAATATAAAATCCGACGCTTAATTTAATAACAGATAACTAATCTAATGTGTATATGTACTGTATTGTAATATGGGTATTGTGTGACTCCGCCTCGAAAAAAAAAAAGAGAGAGGAAATTAACCAACTCGTTTTGTATGTGTATAAGCGTAGCGTCACGTAGCGACGCAGCAGAGAATCACACCGTGGCGTTTTACAGCGATACGGAAAGAACGGCGGAATAATTTTTATGGAGTATGCGAGTCTCCTCGAAAAAAGAGAAAAAGCGAGATACTTCGTCACCGATTGTCGTCCTGTGTAACAAAATGTAAAACGCAAACGACTCCCCTGACCAGTGTCATATTCTCGCGAGCCCCATCGACGAGCGCCCGTGATCGAGTCATCCCGAGCTTGATTGCGGGATCCGGGAAATAATTTCGTCGGTCCTTTCTGGCGTGTGTTTGCTTGTCTATTTTTGTATTGTTAGCGACAATTTCGTTCGTCTCCGTACGTCTCGTCGGCGCAACGCGATGCTGCGAACGTCCTGCCTGTCATCGCCGCGTGACTCGATTGCGAGGCATCAAGGCCGTCATCACACACCCGCCCTAACCCCGCACCTCCACCCTACCCCCTTCCCCTTGACACCTCTCCTTTTTTTACTTTCTCACCATCGACGAACCAGAATGGCAGATGAAACGAACGGAACACAAGAGATGAATCTGAATACCCTATATATATATATACACACACACTATATATATATATATATATATATATATAGGTAGATATATATATAATAAATAAAAAAGAAAAAGGTAAAGTATATATAAATATTATATATATAAATAAATATATGAAAGATGATGTGTATTGTAAGATATTTAATACCGACTTGTCTTAGGCACACCCAATGACGATCGATAACAATGAAACGATGATAATAATAATTATTACGATAATTGTTGTATAACGAACGACGAGAGACGATGATATTCTACACTGTAATTCGCGTTGTAATATAGAGGCCCACCCGTTACCCACTAAATCGATGTGTCGATGTACCCCGGCCGTGCTGTGCTCGTGTGCGCGTCTCAAGGGGGATGACCGTGATGGGGCCGAATCGGCCTTTGCAGGTGCGTCGCGCTTTGGACGACGGCCAATCAGCCGAACTGAGATTTTTCTACGAGAAGGACCGGGAGCCACTTTCGTAACTGGCCGACGTTCAACGACCGTCGCACCCGCGAGACGGGAAATTAGATCGGTTTCGATCGCGCCTTCTCGCGCTGCTCGACGTTAATCATCCCGGCTGCAGCGCGAAAGCCCACACATACACAAATACACGTGATACACGCATGACACGACATACATACATACACACGCAAATATCCTATTAACGATGCGCGGCAGCCTATTACGAACGAGCAGAGCACGCCCGGCAGCAACTAGCAATAATATAACATTCCAACTTAAATCGCATACGTACTGCGAATTCTAATAATGTGTGCCGCCGTACGAGAAAAGAAAAACACTGTCAAATACACGCTCATACACTGCTATTCTTTCGCTTGTATTTATTATCACGCCGACTTGTCCTCATCCACCTAATGACCGTAATCCTCGGGCGCGAGTCGGTCGCGCAAAAACGACAATGTGAAGGAACGGTAGCTAAACCAGTCTCGAAAACGATAAAGTAGCGGACATGTATGATTCGGTTCAACGAGTTATGCAAACCGCGCGCGGAGACTTTTGCAGGGAGGGGAGGGCAAGAGGCGAACGAGCGGGACGGGTTTGTCTCGCTCGTAATGTCACAACGCCGGCAAAAGTAGTAGTTACTCACATTTGCACCTCTCCCGCCCCAAAGAAGTTTGAGAATTCGCGACATACCTGCTGCTCGCCGCTCGTTAAAGGCACGTTAGACTCCACTCTGCTCGTGGAGAGCGCGGGTTTATTTGCGACAATAATGATGACGTGAATCGCGCCCGAAATCCGCCGCGCGAGAACAGGACGAACGGCGTCACGGCTGTTCCGGATTGCGTTTCAATGGCGGTTCCGGAAAAGGGGCCGTGAAAGGAATTCGAGTTAGGGAGCGCCGAATCTCCGGCGCTGATGGATTTGTGAGACTGTCAATGTACTTACCCATCCACTCGAGCCGTCTAGAGAGGCCGAAAGCCAAAATCAAACACGTCCGTCTTGACGGCAGCGGCAACGGTTGGACCAAGGGCTCGTCTATTTGCAGCGGTGGAGAGAAAAAAAGAATCAGGATTCTCTGCGCAAGGAGAAGGGAGAGAAGAGAGGCGGCAGGATGTTTCATGAATCCTCACATGCCGCCCTCGCGCCTCTCATACCGCCCCGAGCTGTTTCCCACAAATCTTTCGCGTTATGTATCGCGCTATCTCTCATGCGAGCGTTTAACGTTCGGAAAATCGGTCCGACGAGAACGGTCGGGTCTCATCCTCCTTATCCCCACACAAAGTCCACGTCTGCCTCGCACTCCCCTCCACCGGAATCGTCGTCCTGCACCCCTTTTCCTTCCTCAGCCTCCTTCACCCCGATCTTTCCCCATACATCGGCGTACATTCACGCGTCAGCGGATAGTAGGTTGACAATGTTCCATGGTGCGTAAGTTCCCGCATCCAGATCCCGAGATCACCTTCTTAGAGGCGTGCGCTCTTTCGTGCTCCCCCATCGGAAACTCTATCTTACCGGATAATACCTGCAATCCGCTTTCGTCCGGGCGGGTCTGTGTCCCAGGATTTCACACGGGATGCGCCGCGCCAGTCAACGACACGACAAATGAGGAGTTTGAGATTACGATCATGAGACCCGTGTGCAACTAAATTTAAAATTCACGCGCTCCCGTCTCCGAGACCTCGTGCCCGAATGTCGCTTCATTCATAATTTCTGATAATTTAAGACTCGCATTTCCATCTTCAGTCGCTTCTTACTCGAGAATTGTCGACGATTTCTTTTTAATTTCACCTCTGGTATCTCCATGATTTTCGATAATGACAGTTCCCAGACACTCGGTGCGCCTCGCGATATCCGCTTAACGTCCAACTTGAAACGTCAAAGGCGAACGCGGCGAGCGAACGGTGGATTCACGAATGTGGCGATGCGGCCACTGCCG